CCACCTGCTTCTCTGCTAATCCTGTGGAGCACACTTGCTGTTCCTTGCTGCAAGCAGTCTAAGTGCCACTAGATGGGACAGAAGGTGTGTGGGTTACAGTGGCATTTCTGGGGTGAGAACTTTGGGGGACTAAGAGAAAGGACAGGAGGGCCACCTGCTCTGCTCACGTTCGTTTAAGTTGATCGCTCATTGTGACACGTATCATCTTCTTAACCAGGGGAGGAAAGATGGTTAAAAGAACAAGCTGCTGGCAGTAGTCCTGGATCCCACTTCTTCAGCTCTGATTCACTGCTGCTGCTTGATTGAGTCACTTCACTGCTATGTGCCTCAGTTTCCCCACCTATAACATGCCAAGAAACAAGCTCAGTCTCACAGACGCGTGAGTCTTCACTCCTGGCTATAAAATGTTTTCAGGTCTTTGGGGGGAAAGGTGCTCGAAACAAGGAACCAGGGTCTCTATTGGCCTATTCCAGCTATCCCCCTATTGGCTGGATACACGTCATCTCAGGATGGGATGCAGAGATAGAGTTTCTTGACACTTTAAATGACTGCTTCTTGGAGTCACTAGTCCTGGAACCCACAAGGGGCGAGGCAATATTTGATTTAGACCTAAGTGGGCCACAGGATCTGGTCCAAGAGATGAATATACAGTAGTTGAACCACTTGGTAATGATGACCCTAACATAACCAAATTCCTGTGGAGGGGAAGGGAAAAATCAATGCAGTCCACACCAGGGGCATTTAATTTCAGAAAGGCGAACAACACAAAAATGAGGGAGTCAGTGAAACAGAAATTAAAAGGCACAATGCCAAAGTGAAATCCCTGCAATCTGCATGGAAACTTTTTAAAAACACCACACTAGAGGTTCAATTTAAATAGATGCTCCACATTAAAAGACATAGCTAGAGGACCAAAAAAGTGCTCCCGTGGCCAAACAGCATAGACACAGAGGCAAAAAAGCATCCTTTAAAAAGTGGCAGTTAACTCCTATTGAAAATATAAAGGAGCCTGACCTCTGGCAAGTGAAGTGTAAAAACAAAGACTCAAAAAGCAACAGCAAAACAATGTTAAGTACCTCGGCATCAGGAACCCTGCTAAGCTACCAGTGGGACCTCTGGACGATGGAGATGCTAAAGTAGCACTCAAGGACAAAGGAGCCATTGCAAGGATTGAAATGAATTCTTTGCATCAGCCTTCATGACTTAGGATGTGAGGAAGACTCACAAACTTGAGCTATTTTTTGTAGGTGGCAACTATGAGGAACTGTCCCGGACTGAGGTGTCATTAGAGGAACAAATCGAGAAATTAAACAGCAATAAGCCACTAGGACCGGATGGTATTCACCTGAGTTCTGAAAGTGCAGAACTACTGACTATGATATGTAACCTAACATTTAAATCAGCTTCTGTACCAGACGACTGGAGGAAAGCTAATGTGATGCCAATTTTTAAAAAATGCTCTAGAGGTGATCCTGGCCATCACAGGCCAGTAAACCTAATTTCAGCACCAGGCAAATTGGTTAAAATGATAAAGGGTCTGAGTAACATTATTTCTTGGGGAAGGGCAACATAGTTTGTCCAGAGGGAATCATGCCTTACCAATCTGCTAGAATTCTTTCAGAAGGGTCAACAAGAATGTGAACAAGAGGGAGCTAGTAGATATAATGTATTTAGATTCTTAAAAACCCTTTGACAAGGTCCCTCACCAGAGGCTCTTAAGCAAATTAAACTGTTAGGGGATGAGAGGAAGGTTTTCTATACATTGGTAACTGGTTAAAAGACAGGAAACAAAGGGTAGGAATAAATGGTCAGTTTTCAGAATGGAGAGAAGTAACTAATGGTTTCCCCCAGAAGTCTGTTCTGGGACCAGCACTTCTCAACATAGTCATAAACAATCTGAAAAATGGGACAAACATTGAAGTTATAAAATTTAAAATGATACAAAAATAATCAAGATATGTAAGTCCTAAAAAGACTGTAAAAAGTTACAAAATGATGTCACAAAAGCTAGGTGACTGGGCAACAAAATGATAGATGAAATCCAAAGTTGCATATTGGAAAACATAATCCTAACTATCCATATAAAATGATGGAGTCTAAATTAGCTGTGACCATTTAAGAAAAAGATCTCAGAATCATTGTGGATAGTCCTCTGGAAACATCCACTCAGTGTACACCAGCAATCAGAAAAGTGAACAGAATATTTGGAATCATTAGAAAAAGGATAGATAGTAATATAGAAAATATTATTTTGCCTCTATATAAATATATGTATGCCTACATCTTGCATACTCTATGCAGATGTGATCACCCCACTTCAAAAAAGATATATTGGAATTGGAAACGGTTCAGAAAAGGGCAATAAAAATGATTTGGGGTATGGAACAGCTTCCACTGAGGAGAGATTAATAAGAAAGGGACTTTTCAGCCTACAGAAGAGATGACAAAGGGGTGACATACTAGAGGTCTATAAAAGCATGACTGGTGTAGAGAAAGAAAATAAGGACATGTTGTTTGCTCCTTCTCATAAAGAACTAGGAGTCACCCAATGAAATCAAAAGGCAGCAGGTTTAAAATGGACAAAAGGAAGTATTTCTTCACAAAACACAATATCAACCTGTGGAATTCCTTGTCAGAGGATGCTCTGAAGGCCGATTATATAAGGGTTTAAAAAAGAACTAGATACATTCATGGAGGATAGGTCCATCATGGCCATTAGTCAAGAGGGGCAGGAATGAAAAACCATGCTTTGAAGTTTTCTTACTTTTTGTTTGCCAACAGCTGGGAATGGGTGACAGAGGAGGGATCATGTGATGAGTGCCTGTTCTGTTCATTCCCTCTGGGGCACCTGGCATTGGCCCCTGTCAGAGGACAGGCTATTGGGCTAGACAAACCGTTGGCGTGGCTTAGCATGGCTGTTCTCAGTGCTTTTTTTGTGACGGTACTGCCCAGAACGGCATACTGTCACCTATTTTCCCAGCCCACAAAAAGGGAATGGGATATCCCCTGCACGTACCGGCACCTGTTTCCCTGGGGCAGCTCCACTCCTGACGGAAGCCTGCGGGACAGGTGGTGTTTTTTTTCCTGCTCCCAGTGCAGCGCCGTAGCTCTTAAAAGGGGCCACGATTGCATTTTGGCTTTTTTTTTCCTTTTTGGGGGGGGAGGGGCTTAACAAGTTTGCCACGGAGTACCGGCACCTTTTTCTTACAAAAAAAAGCACTGGCCATTCTTATGTTCACATCCTCAGCAGCTGCTGACTGATTCCTGCTATCTGGTTTTGGCACTTGTGGTGGGAGCGGTGGGATAGGAAACTAGGCTCTGAGGTACAAAGGTCCTTCTGGTGTAGCTCTAGATCCCGCAAACCTGGGCAGAAGGCTTGAGCTGGGGTTCATATTATCAAGGACAAGGGCTATGAAAGCTGCTAGATAGAATAGTAACTTGCACTCTAGCTTTGTTGGTGATTGAGAGAACCTAGAGCAGCAGAGAGAAGTGAATGCAAACAAGCCGAAGCTGGGGAAGTAGATGGGTGATAGGGGAGGGGATCACGTGAGGATTACCTGTTATGTTCCCTCCCTCTGGGGCATCTGGTATTGGCTACTGTCAGCAGATAGAATACTGGGCTGGATGGACCGTTGGTCTCACCCTTATGGCCGTTCTTATGTTCTGTTCTTATGGCTGCAAGGACTGGAAATGAAATGCGAACACCTTCACTTCTAGATTATGCTCAGACAGGGGTAGGTTTCTGCCCAGCTCCTAGCAGACCGGAACCAAATCTCACCAACCAGTTCTCTAATTGGCTTTAAATCAGGAGCATTGATGGTGGCAGCTTCAGCTTCATAAACTATTATCGGTCACAAAAACTGACTTCCCCTCTCACCCCACATATGATAACTCCAGCATCATGGTAAGCTTCACTCTGAAGATATCTGTTATCTGGACAAATTCAGTCTCTGGCAGCCAAAGCTTCATCCACACAGCATTAACTTTTAAGCCATATTTCAGTAACACCGAACTTGCTTTGGGTTGGAAGAGTGCTTCAAAGAAGGGCAGGGTTACGCCTTTGCAGCCCTATTGATTTTAATGGGATACCCCGACAGGAGTGACTGAGCAACTCGGCCCATTATAACTCACTGATATAGAGTTTTCTTCCAGCACCATCTCAAGTACAAAATTAATGTACCAGACAAGTACATCTATCAAGGAAGACAATGTGAATTGCATGAATGTGTCTGTCAGCGGAATGTGGTCCCATATGTTTGACAATATCTCCCTTACATGTGTCAGTAAGAGCTGATGGAGTGTTATGAGTAACGCTGTTTGTTATGGATTTAGCCGCTCTTTCAATTAGCAAATTGTTTGGGAGCCAAATTTGATTGCCCATGAGTGTATTCATTACTCACGTCTGCTGAAGAGTTTCAACAGAGGCCTTTCCAGATCACAGGTTCCTCATCAACCATTTACTGTGACTATTTGCACCTTTTGTTCCAGGATCTTAAAGTTACAAGCAGATCAGTTACAAGCGAATAAGTCTCACTAGGGCCATGTGGAGAGACACCATCTTGAATGTAATGATGAGAAATTTTTCGGGGGGAGAGGAGGGAGTTAAACGACTCACCCAAGGCCACAGAAGGAATCAGTGGCAAAGTAATAGAACAGTGCAGTCCTGAGCATTCGTTTTGTGAAATCATGCACAGTCGGGGAAGCACCAAATGACTGGGAAAAAGCAACTGCAGGATCTGATCCTGGCTAGTCACACCATATGGACCTTGTTCGTGTACTGGGGAAATAACCTGGTTGCTTAGGAGGTGGTCTATTACTCACTCTGCCACTGATTCCTTCTGTGGCCTTGGGTACATCATTTAACCCTCCAGATCAATTTCCCATCGTTACATTCAAGATTGTATCTCGCTGGTGACCCAGCCACGGGAGACGTTCTCTTTCTAACAGCCTGGGTGTGAGCTCTTTGCTGAAAGACTTGTCTTTGTTTCCCTGTTCCCCAGGTCTTGCGACTGCCGCCATGGGGGCTCTGCTGTGGGATCTCTTGCTGCTGTGCTTGTTCGCCCACGTGCTTGGGGACTGCCAGAAGGACTGCCTGAGCTGTAACCGACACCTGTACGCCCAGCAGGACAACTTCAATGTCCTCGTAAGTCCGCCACCGCCAGAGCCTCTTTCACATGCCAGGGATGGGCACGCGGGTGTCCCAGGTCAGCAGTCACGCTGCCGGTGTGCGGGACAGATAACACAGGCAATTGCCTAGAGGGCCACAGCAGCGGATGCGGGGGCAGTAGAGCTGATAAAATGCTGCACTGGGATAAACAAGCCCTTCTCTGCCTCTTGGGTTTTTGTAAATATGCCAGAGTCATCTTCTGCCCTATACTGAGATCCACACTTACACCCATCCACTCCAGAATCCTTTATTCCTGGGGTGGGGAACCTATGGCCCCAGGGCCGGCCCCGGCCCCGGGTGCTGGCACTCCAAACCTGTGGTCCCCCCACCCTCAGCTCACTGCTGCACCCCCTCTCTGCTCCTGCACTCTACCTCCCACCCAACCCTCCCCAGCACCCTCCCAGACTCACCAACCCCCCACGCCCCAAGCCTGCTTCCTGGCAGCCCCCTCCCACACACTGAACCCCTCATTTTTGGCCCCACCCCAGAAGCCTGGGGGGGCCTCACAAAATCTACTAGCCCAGCCCCCCCGTTCTCCAGGCTCTGATGTGCAAGGGGAATATAGGGACCGTCTTTCTGCTTCTCAGTTGGGTGCCACATCAGTGGGGGGGGTTGTTTGTTTTGGGGGGGGTTTACTTCTCACTTTTATGTGGCCCCTGACTGATTTTTCTGTGGGTCAGTGGCCCCCAACCCAAAAACAGTTTCCCGCCTCTGCTTTATTCCTGCAGCTGGGCTAGCCCCATGCACAGGGTTCTCAGAAGCATTTGGGAGCAAGGGGAGCGATTGGATCCTTCTATCACTTAGGGCTTCTAGGGACAGACCTGGGAGCTCTGCCGGAGAGCTACGGCTTCTGTGAATAGTCAGACATCCAGCTTGATTGTTATGGCTGCAGATTAAGGATGATCAATTACCAGAGGGAGAGTCAAGTAAATATGAAGCACAGGAAGTTGAGCTCTGAGTCTGAGGTGGGATAGCTCAGTGGTTTGAGCATTGGCCTGCTAAACCCGGGCTCGTGAGTTTAATCCTTTAAGGAGCCATTTAGGGAGCTGGGGCAAATCTGTCAGAGATGGTACTTGGTCCTGCTGTAAGGGCCCTGGACTTGATGACTTTTCAAGGTCCCTTCCAGTTCTAGGAGATAGGTATATCTCCATTGATTTAATTTGAGCTAGCTTGCCCTGATGTAAATCAGGAGCAATCCCATAGAAGTTAATGGGGTGACACCAGTGTAAAACTAGCATGGCCCCGTGCTCAGTCAGGTCCACCCTCCTCTTCTCTGAATTTGAAGGAACCCGGGAAGGCACCTCATACAGCCGGAGCTATGTTTGGCACGGTGTTCCTATTACAGTACATAGCACTGTGTGTGCAGATATGGCGTTATATATATGGCCCGTATGGAAAAGCAGGGCCGGATTAAGACATGCTGAGGCCCTAAACTATGTCAAATTTAAGAGGCCCCATAGAATTACCCCCAAAATGAGTATTAATCTATCAGAAAGGACAATGACAATGTAAATAATAAGGTTTGATATTTGTATATATACTGGTACATCGGCAAGGATGCCGCTAAAAACTAGTCATTTTTTGGATTTAGAGGCCCCTCATAACCTGAGCCCCTAAACTGTATCTTACTTAGCTTGTGCCTAAATCCAGCACCGTCCTGTGTTTTAGGAGCAGCAGGTCACAAGCTCTCACCCAAAAGTCAACTTTGTGCAAGTCAGTTGGATACTGAGGCTACATCTACACTGCAGCGCTATTTTGGGATATTGGAGTATCCCGAAATAGCTATCTCGCGTCTTCACAGCAAACCCGTTATTTCGAAATATAACGGGCTCGCCATTCCAATGTCCCTGTTAACCTCATTTCATGAGGAGTAAGGGACATTGTGGAATAGTGGGTTGTTTTGAAATTGGGTGCTGTGTAGACAGCGCCAAATTATGAAATAAGCTATTTCAAAAGAAGATGGAAATAAGATACACAATTTGCATAGCTCAAATTGCATATCTTATTTCAAACTATGGTGCAGTGGAGACGTAGTCTAAGAGGTCTTCATTCCAGCCCCAAGCCTAGAACTTCCCAGATGGATTATGCTAGGCCACTTGCTTTCTGGACTCTCGACACTACCGCAATGGGTGTATTACACATATCACAGAAAGACAGCCTAGCTGGGGCTGTCGGGACACAAGAGTGGGTTGCTTCAATCTGATATGTGGAGCTCAATGGTGGTAATAAGAAAGCCAAGAGCTTGGCGTTGCCCAATTCCCACCCCCGAAAAATTCCCAAGAGGCTCCCCGATACAATCTGAGCCGTTTCCTGGTGTCACAAGAGGTTCCTGTGTCCTGAAGACAAAACTGTTCTCAGAAGTGCCAACCCCCGAGACAGCGCAGAAAGAGACAGTCTGGTTGGGAGCAATAGGGACCAGACCTTTCACAGCTACCCCCTATTCTACTGCCGCATTAAGCCTCCCTGCTTATTCTGCCCATGGCAGGCACCTTCCTGGCACAGTGTTTGTCGGGCAGCGAGTCCTGACCGGTTTTATCGACAGCAATGGGTTTGAAAGACCAGGTCTCCCTCCATAACTCTCTGCTGAAGTTTATGACTCGCATGCGGTACCACAGAATGAACCGAGCAAAGGGGCGGAAAAGCCCAGCTCATAAAAACCACGTCTCAGGAGCTGCCTCCAGGAGAAGGGTTCCCACAACAGGGGGCTACGGTCGGGTTCAAGGAGCATCACAGAGCAGGTTTTGATTCCTGTTTGGAGCAAATTAGTAATCAATGGGAAGAGGCTGATACGATGCCCTTTGGGATGGGTCATGGTAGCTCCTAATACGTGGTGTCCAGTGTCGAGAAAGAATTTCCAAGGATTTGTATTTACACAGGAAGAGGAGAACATAAGAACGGCCATACTGGGTCAGACCAAATATCCGTCTAGCCCAGTAACCTGTCTTCTCACAGTAGCCAATGCCAGATGCCCCCAGAGGGAATGAACAGAACAGGTAATCATCAAGTCACTCATTTCCAACCTCTGACAAACAGAGGCTAGGGACACCGTTCCTACCCATCCTGGCTAATAAGTATTGATTGACCTATCCTCTGTGAATTTATCTAGCTTGTATTTTTTAACCCCATTAAAGTCCCGGCCTTCACAACATCTGCTGGCAAGTAGTTCCACAGGTTAACTCTGCATTGCATGAAGAAACACTTCCTTTTGTTTTAAACTTGCTATCTATTAATTTCATTTGATGACCCGTAGTTCATTTGGTGATCCCCTAACCCTTATGATGGGTGGCGCTTGACTTCAAGCTTTGTTCCCTCCCTCCCTAAATTGCACCCTGGAAGAGGTGTATAAATCCTGATGCCAACCCCCCCACCTGTCATAGGGTTTAGGCGGCAGAGTTGAGGGAATCTAATGCACTACCGTGATTGTGTCTCTGATTTCAGACTGACATAGTCCGCTGTCCAGACTAAACAGGGACTGCTCTGGTGGGCTGGGTTCCAATTACTCATATTGATTTTGGAATTCAATATCCTCTCTGCCTTCACACGCCAGGGGTTGAACTAGAGTTACAATAAGGGGTGCCCCACGGAAAGCATTTCCCTTTTGTACCAGTTTCAAGGGAGCAGCACTCCCCCATGGGCTCGCCTCAGTTTCTGTTGGGGTTGGGTGAACTTTCCCATCCCTCTTCTGTTTCCTGCATGAACTGCAGTGAGAACTGGACATGCTAAATACTCAAGAGAAGCTGCTCTTGCCTCATTTCCAGCCTCAGCTGTGTAAACCCAAAGGCTGCATCTAGACTGGCAAGTGTTTCTGCAAAAGCATCTGCTTTTGTGGAAATACTTGCCAGCTATCTACACTGGCCGCTTGAATTTCCGCAAGAACACTGACGATCTCATGTAAGATTGTCAGTGTTCTTGCGGAAATGCTATGCTGCTCCCATTCGGGCAAAAGCCCTCTTGCGCAAATGCTTTTGCGCAAGAGGGCCAGTGTGGACAACGCGGTGTTGTTTTGTGCAAAAAAAGCCTCAATCGTGAAAATTGCGATCGGGGCTTTCTTGCACAAAACCGCCTCTAGACTGGCACGGACGCTTTTCCGCAAAAAGTGCTTTTGCGGAAAAGCGTCTGTGCCAATCTAGACGCTCTTTTCTGCAAATACTTTAACGAAAAAACTTTTCCGTTAAAAGCATTTGCGGAAAATCATGCCAGTGTAGACGTAGCCAAAATGTCTGGGTGATCCTTCATTATCTGCATTAATGGGACACCGGCAAGCCTCAGTCATAAACCAGGGCCCCTTGGTTAGGCACTGTAGGAACCCACAATAAAGACATAGCCTCTGACCCAAAGAGTTCACAGTCTCAGTGGTGTAAGCCAAACATTCGCTATTCTGACCCCTTTTGTTGCCGCAACCCACAGCTTGGAATAAAGGCATTGGTCACGTTCCAGTTTCATTCATGAAGTATGGGTTACCCATGAAAGCTCCTGATCTAATATATTTTGTGAGTCTCTAAGGTGCCACAGGACTACTCATTGTTTTTAATGTTACAGACAGTGCCCTCTTGGAGACTTTTTATTCACAAAGTATGTTATACTCTGAAGTATGTTAAGACGCATCCTCTTTTACATGTAAACAAACAAAAGGAAGTATTTCTTCATGCAGCACACAGCCAACCTGTGGAACTCCTTGCCAGAGGGTGTTGTGAAGACCAAGATTTTAACAGGGTTCACAAAAGAACTAGATGAATTCATGGAGGTTAGGTCCATCGATACTTATTAGCCAGAATGGGTAGGAGTGGTGTCCGTAGCCTCTGTTGTCAGAGGTTGGAAATGGTTAACAAGAGAGGGATTGCTTGATGATTCCCTGTTCTGTTCACTCCCTCTGGGACATCTGGCATTGGCCACTGTCAGAAGGCAGGATACTGGGCTAGATGGACCTTTGGTCTGACTCAATACGGCCGTTCTTATGTTAGTGTATTGATTTCCTC